TTCTTCTATTTTTGGGAACAGGAACTCAGTATATCTGACATCTGGCAGGTTGGGAGTTCCATTTGTTTCCTCTATATCACTATTAACCAGTAACATCTCTGTTATGGTAAAGAATAAGGAAATGACTGACTTAAAGGCAAGAGTATACTGAAGTCCAGAGGACGTTCTGGCAAATTTCTTTGTTATAGTCAGTAAAGTTTTAAAGTGAATAGTCCTAACGTATTTGGATGATTCAAGTGAAACAACCAACTGAAACCATTGCTTAATTACCTACCCTCTAGTTTATAATTCTAGACTTGAAATAAACCAGTGTTTTCCCATAGCTGCCATTTTTGTTCTGCTTTCAGTAAAGTGTATCTTTCCTATTTTGGAAAGAAACAAACAATTATTGGGTCTATCCTCAGACCTTCATCTAAGCCTATTTGCCTTCCAAGGACTTTTCTGCCTCATTTTTGCTCTCACATTTGTGCTACCCATAAGAACATTGTTTTACCTCATTTAATAATAGAATTGTTTAAAATCCATCTGCAGATCTTTGCATTTATCTCCATTGCAAGTCAGCTCTTATCCTTCCAGCCCACACAGTTCCTATGTTGTACAATCACGTGCTCCAGGATTACTAATAAAACTGCAAACATGTAAACTAATTTTAAAAAACCTGCAAACTAATAAAAAAACCCACTTTTTTTATTTCTCTCAGATTGTTGGTATCTTTAAATTGGTCCTATCATAGCCAAAACAGGAATTTAATAACTATGCTTAAAAGTCTTAGAATATTTTTTAAAAACTTAATCCATAAAATATCTCTGTTATTATCTTCATTATGCTGACCAGAAAACAGAGGTGTAGGACATTTAAATGACTTCCTTGAAGGAAGCTGTGATTGAATATGGGTCATTTGGATGATCACGCATAAGTTCTTTGTTTTATTTTTTGTTTTTCTGAGACAAGGTCTTGCTATGTAGTTCAGCTGGCCTTTCCTACCTCAGCCTCCCAAATCATGGGATTATAAGTGTGCACCACCATTCCTGGCTTCAAGCATAACTTCTTAAACTCCTGGTCATGAATTTTCAACCTTGATTTATATTAAACTATTACATTAAGAATTACCCAAGAACTTTATATTACACACTTTATATTAAAATTTTATATTTATATTAAAGATATATGAGAATTTTAAAAAGATATAGAAGCCAAGGGCTAATCTTATACTTAGCTTGTTACAGGTGTGGGTTGGGGTGTGGACCTCTGCTGTTGTGCTCCACCATAGCAAAAGAACAGAATCTTGCCACATTACTCCGTACATAGCATCACAGTTGGCAATTTCTGTTAATTTTTATCTTTGCCATATTGCTTTGAATCTAAATCTGTTATCGGGACTAACATCTCTTCTTTCGCCATATTTTGTGACTGTTTTGAAAGACTTGGTTAGATTCCTTGAAATTCTGTGGTATTTAAGCTTGTCAATTTGATTGGTTTGAGAAATTAGTAAAGCACACTTGTGGATGTGACTGGGGGAGTGAAGGAAGCATGACCTTGGGGACTGTCTTTGGTCCCTGGCCACTGCTTCTCTGGGTTTCTCTGCTCTGCCTCTCAGAAACCAAGAGTTTAGTGGCTTTCTCTGCCATGTCCTTTACCATGTTTCTGAATCAACCCTGGAGTGAAACCTCTAAAATAATGAGTCAAAATAAATATGTATTTCTTTTACTTGTGAGTGCCAAGTACTTTGTTCTAGCAAAGGAAAAGCTGGCTAGTACAAATATTTCCTTTATCATCAAATAGGGGAACATTCTGAAATGTTTGCCCAGGAGGGCAAATTTTTAGCTATGCCACTAGCAGGAATCACATGAAGGGCTTGAAAGTTCTCATTCATAGTGTGAAAAGAACTCAACATTCCTAAGGTAGCACTGGCTTAAAATCATCTTATGAGGGAGGCTTCCACTCTCTGAATGACACTAAGCAAGTTAATTTTTCTGTGTGGCTGGAGGTTCTCAGTTAAACTTATGAGTAATATTCCCCTGCCTACCTTGTCTTCTGTAACCAAACCTCTAGTATGAAAAATAATCCTGTCCTAGTCACTCCCCTCTTTGCTAGGAAAAAATACCTGACCCCTGAAAATTGAAGAAGTAGAGGCTTATTTTGGCTCATAGTTTGTAGAGGTTTCAGTCCATAGTAGGCGGATTCTGGAGTAGGACAGCATGGTAGAGGTGCTTGGCAGAGAAGCAGAGAGGAAAGTAACAAGAGCAAAGGGAGGGAGATGTACCCTTCTAGGCCACTACCCCAGGGGCCCATCTCCTTCCACCAAGCTGCACCTCCCAGCAACACATTTAGCTATAAACTCATCAGTGGATCAAATGCACCCATCATCCAATTACCTCCTGAAACCCTCCTCTATGTTTGAGGTGTTGGGGGGATATCTAAATATAAATTGGGACACCATTACCCACTAAAAGTCCTGAATATTCTCTTGATCCACTAGTTCCAAATGACTTCTGTCTGTAAGCAGACAGTTACAGATACTATTTAGCTGAATAAACACATCATTGCAAAATATAAAAATCTCATTATGATGAATGTACGTACATTGTTTCAGAGTTCCAAAACTCACTTTTCCCTTTCAGAACAGATGATGCTTCCATTTCCACAGTTAATGTTTTTTATTTTAACCATGACATTAAGGTCCACTTAAGCACTTTTCTGGTGTAAATCTGTATTCCACCTTTTACCCAAGTAATAGTTTTTTTGCAGGAAAATGGAACTCTTATGGTGGTTGTTATTAATAGCTTTAATAGTCTAAGGAACTTTAGATCTGCCATTGAGTCACTTTCCTATTTCCAATTCCTTTTTTAAAAAAATGACCCTCCTATCATAGAAATGCAAAAATCTCATAAATCCCTCCATATGATGAAAACACTGCCATAGTTCATTATGTACTTTAAACAAGTCAGTGTGTGTTTCAGTCACTCTCTAGCTTGTTATAATTTGCTCAAAGAGCTTTTGCACTGGATCTGTAGGGAAAAAACGAAGGCCCTGTTTTGGTGAATTTCATTTAAAGAAACCGGGAAATACAGGACTGATCTGAAAAGCAGATCCTTTGTGGTAAATAGTACCTATAAATGTATCATCTCCTTCAGGTTGTTAAGAGACTGGTCCCAGGAAACTTTGGGTTCACCTCTTTCCACTGCTCCGTCCTTTACAGTCCTCCAACCACATTGACCTCTTTACGACGCTGAATTTGCCAAACACATTTCTTTCTCCGGGTCTTTGTGTTAGTCCCTTTCTCTGTAACTCTTCCCTAATGGTCATAGGATTGGCTCATTCTTAACCTTCAGATCTCTGCTGAAATGTCACTTTCATGAAGTTGTTTTTGGCTTCTCTAAAATAACACCTCCACTTACTATTTCTTTAGTTTGCATTATTTATTTATTTGGTGGCAATCACACATTACTCAGGCATTACTCATTCTAAAGCATATTTTATTCCTTCTACGAGAATACAAAAGCCAGTAGGGCACGGAAAATGTAGGTTGTTGTCCTCTGGTATCCTTGAGAGGTTACAGCCTGAAAACCAGTAGGTGATCAGTAAATATATGAATGAATGAGGCTCTTAGGGACGGTGCAAGCTGTTTTTCTTCCTTCTCTGGGTGCCTCATTCCACCTTCCTCTTTTCAACCAGGTAGCTGCTCAGTCAGACGCTCTGGATTGCGCATGTGAGCATGTTACTGTACTCCACAGTACCACTTTGCCTCAGCCAACTGCCCAGGCTGGGGAAAGGAAGGTGTGCAGTGCCCGGAAGGTGGAAGCGAAAGCAGAACTGGGAAGGCGTGCACGGAAGGGAAGGGAAAGTCTCCGTGCGAAGCAGCCAGCCTCCTCCCTGCCGGCTTGTGCACAGCCGGACCTTCCCGGCCGGCTGACTCATTCCCAGCCGCCTCCAGGGCGTGGGGGAGCACGCACGCCCATCTGTGCCAAGCCAGCTCTGACACGGGTACCCCGTCACGCCCCAGAGCTCAGGGAGCCGCCACCACCTCTGCTCCCTCGCGCTTTTAGGCCCCGGGACTACCCAGGGAATCGCCTAGCCCCAGCCAGCTTCCTGGGAACCGGGGGGCCGGGGAGCCCCGCGCGCGCACGCGCAGTCGAGGTGCGTCGGCTCCCGCCCCGCCCAGCTCCGCGGCGCTTGGAGTGGAGGCCGCCGCCGCCGCCGCCGCCGGGCCTGACGCTATCGGGACTTCCGAGCCAGTATCGCCTGTGGCACTGGGGAGACGGTGTGGCCCCGGAGAGGGTGGAGACACGGTGGTGACGGGCTTCCCGGCTGCCCAAAGTGGGAGTGGTGTGGGCTGCAGGAAGCCGACAGGAAGAGGAGCAGAAGGGGGCAGCAGCGGCCGCGCTAACCCTCGGCGGCTCTGACAGGAGGAGCAGGCGTCTCCGGAGTTGGCGCCGCGCGGCCCCTTGGATCCCTGGGCCGTGTCCTGCAGCGCCCATCGGGGCGGACGGCTGCCGCGGCGCGGGGACAGGCCTGGTCCGCGCTGTCCAGGGATGTGAGTGGGAGCGAGCCCGCGTGGGAGGCCCCTCGAGGGCCCAGCCTGGCGGACGCTAGACCAGTGCCCGGTCTGGGGGCTCCGCGGATCTCGGCTCGCAGAAGGGGTGGTGCAGGCGCAGCCCTTCGGGCTCCAGGGCGCTCCCTCGACGCGGCGTCCCTGCGATTGGTAGGTGTTGTCGCCACCTGGCCTCTAGATGGAGGGCAAAAATTGTGTCTCCTGCACCTTCCCACCTCTTGACCTCCGTTTCCCCTGCTAGTGGCAGTAAACTTCTCAGCCTTTTAAGCTTCCTCTTTTAAGGCAAAACCCAGAATGGAGTATCTTGCTGTTAATGTTTGCATCCTTGTAATTTTTCCCTCTTTCTCATACTTAACCTTCTTTAAAATTTTTAAGCATATAAACAGCTTAGAAAAGAGCATCTATTTCCCTTGGATTTCTGAGGTAGTAACTCTACTTCTATTTTTAGGTTTCAGAAGCAGGCAACGGGAACAAGATGTGAACTGTTTCTCTTCTGCAGAAAAAGAGGCCCTTCCTCCAGCTCCCTCTTTGGTGGGTATGGGATCCTGGCTGCTCTCCTCTGTAGCTGCAGTAAAGTCTGGGGTGCAAAAGCTGTGAGTGAGTGCTTGCATAGTAAGAAGGTTGGATGGGTGTGTGAACAGGCGGGGTTCTCTGTTGCTTACTCTGAAAATGGCACTGCTGAACTTTTAAAGTTGTTCTGCCACAGTAATTTTGGTCTTTATTGTTGCTCTTGGATCCTTTAAGGATCATTTCGTGTTGGTTTTATAAACAAACTGGTTTTACAAACAGTGTGGCCTTGTAGACGTTTTCCCTAACTCCTCAAGCAGCCAGAGATTTTTAATCTTTCAAAGAGGGGTATTTCTAAATAATAAAAAATTTACCTACTGAGCTGTTCTTGCTGGGGTTTCTGTTGCCACATCCAGTGCTTCCTCGATGGTTTTATCTGCCTAAAGTTGCTGTGTCGGTTTAATTTACCCAGTTTGCTTTCCTATTGTTATTAATCTGTTAGGGAAACTCCTTTTTTTTGAATAAAAGGATAAAAGCAGCTAGTATGTCAGCGGGAGGAAAAATACAGAGACGAAGAACAGAAGAGGGAATAAAGAAGATGATTACTTTTAGTTTCATAATAACGTTTGTACAAGTGGGATATTGGGCTACTCCAAATATTCTGATATAATACCTTGAAGATCTGAAAATGAATACTCAACTTTTGGCTCCTCTTCCCCCATCTGCTCATCTTTTACAGCTTCAAGTGTGAAAACTGTTTGTAGATGCACTTATCTGTTGGCGTGTAACTGGGAAATTGGATGTATCCATCACTTGCCATAATAATACATGTATTCACCTGTAGAAGAAAGCTGCAGTACTTCCCAGCTAGATTAGTATATAATGCTTATTTTTCTCTTACTAAATGTCTTTCATTTGGAGCTTAACCAGTTTCATTCAGAAACTGGTTAAGAAATACTGTAGTTTCTTTCAAAGCTTTTATGTTAGTGATTTAAGACAGGTGTCTTTGATATGGGTAGCAGTTTATGTCTTTTCTCTGATTCATCTGACTATTCTTGAAAGATAGGGTTCTTTTTAGGCAAAATAGGAAAGTGCTTTAGCTTTGGAGTCAGATCTAGGTGTGAATCATTATGTTCTTTCCCCTTAAAAGTACAATCTCTTTGAGCCTTGCATTTCTTATCGTTGTGAGGCTTAAATAAGTTACAGGCATAGTAGTAAATTACTCAGCTGCTATAGAAGTTTTGGCTAAGCTGAGTATGGTGGCACGTGCTTCTTAAAAGGTTGAGGAGGGAGAATTACTTGAGCCTACAAATTCAATACCAGCTTGGGCAAAATAGTGAGACTCTGGCTAAAAAAACAAGAAGACTTGGGTACTATGATAGGTGGGCAGCCAAAGGAGATTCAGAGAAAGGTACAGTGACCGTGCATAAGGTGATCTGCCAGTGACCAGTAGTTCATTCTCTTTAGTATACTTTCAGATCTTGAATTAACTGGGAGGTTTTATAGCCTCTGTATGGATAGGATTGACTTACCTCTGAGTCCCCTTGGACTGCCCCTTTCAACTGTCCTGCTGCCCTCTTGTGGTTGATTGTACTAGGAACTTTCTTGTGCAGCTTCCTCATTAAATTGTTTTTCCCTTTTAACGCCCTTTCTTTTATTCCTAAAGAAATGAAAGGTGCTCAGATGCTCAGAAAAAGTGAATTTACGCTAGAACTATTAGTTTTAGGTAGACCATGGTTTCAATGTTATATACATTGCTTTCTACAATGTCGTTTCTTAGTAAAGCTACATATTCAAAGGTTCATCTGCTAAAAAGCAATTGTTTGCTATTTAAAAATCAGTGTGATAATGTCTAATTTGATTCCAAGGTTTGAGAAGTTGTAGTGTACCTAACAGTCACTAAATTGATCTTAACACTTATTAAGTTGTTTGAACCTATAGCTTTATTTATTTATTTGAACTACAGAAGTCATGAAAAATTACTAAGACTCTAAGAACTTTATGAATGAAGATAGTATGAGGAACTTTTGTACTAATCTTTTATTGGTTTTTCTGTAAAATTGCTAATACAAAGCTAGTGCCAGCGGATCATAGCTTAATACATTTCCTCTTTTACTAATATTGTTATAACTTCTGCTCAGTTCTTTAAAGTGAATGCTATTATTCAGTTGTTTCATATCAAGTGTCCTGATCCAGGAAAATGATGAGAATTGTAGTACTTTTTCCATAGGGTTGTAGTGAGAACTAAGGAATTAATACATTTAAAGTTTTTAAACCTAGCATATTAAGATCTTAAATTCTTAGCTACTATATTACACCTCTTATCACTATTACTGCTACTGTAAATACTCAAGTTAAAATTCCACCTCATTTGTGAAACTTTCTCAATATAATATATTTTTCCTTTATTTCTATAGCTTCAGTCTTAGAACATCTTCACAGTTTATGTGCTGTGCTTTTGTTGCCTGAGAGTTATTTTTTCCCAGTGATAACCATCTCTTTTCAAGTTATGTATGCTTTGAGCAACAGCACCTTAGGTAAGAAAAAAACACAGTGTGACACACACGTAAACAATATTCAGTAAATATGTTGATTGCATCTTAAAAAAGAATTTCAGTTACCAAATGTTTGTGAATACCTTAAAAGGTATTTTATTATGTCCCGAAGGCATACAGAGAAATAAAAACATGTTGTTTTCCCTGAGGACTTAGTATAATTGGGAATATAAGATAAACAGTAAACTTTGTAGATATTTAAAGCACTTAGAGTTGAGATGAGCAGAAAAGGTTCTAAGAAGGTAGATTAAAACTAGGCAGGCTTTAATTTTGTATGAGGAAGGAACTTGAATAGGAGGTAATCAAAGCAAAATATCTTTGTGAGATGTTCAGAGAATAGTACTTAGGCCAACTTGATTGAAATAAAGGTTTGTGAGAGAGAGCAGTTAAAAATATAGATTGGAATTAGATTATGGAGGCTTTAAGTACTGGGATGAAAAGAAATAGTTTACTTCACAGGTAATGGGAGAAACTCTTAAGTTTTAAATTGGGAAAGAGCCTTCTAAAATAAATAAATATTTTAGGAAAATTGAAGTAGGGCGAGTGCTAGGTATAGTATGACAGGTAGAGGTAGGAAAATAATCTAGGCCTACAGTAATGAAGAATTGGATTTAGTGGCAATAAGTCAGACTGGAGAGATATCCCAAAACTTGATCTTGGTACTTGCTTTTGTATCACATGTACTAAAATCGGAATGATGCAGAGATTAGCATGGCCCCAGTTCAGGGACAGCATGCAAATTTTAGAACAGTTCCATATTTTTAAATGAATACTTAGAGGAGATTCTCATTGTATCCAGTTGATTGTGTTGGGTCTTTATTCTTCGTAGTCAGTGTTTTTCTTGCTCAAAGATGGGATGTACCATGCAGACTTGTATCCAAAGAGCCAAATATTTATGAAACAATTATATTGGTTTGAAGATACTCTAAATCACCATAGAAAAGGGGTGTAGCAAAATAAATGAAAGGCAGTATATGGCAGTAAGTTAAATACATTGTTTAAAATAACATGCAAAAGACTTTATCATGGGCTGAGTAGGAAGAGAAGTTAGGAGAAGAAGAGTAATTTAAGATGATTTTGAAATTTTGATCCTCAGTGACAGGAAGTCAAAAGATTTTGAGATCATAAGACATTGCAGAATGTCTAGACCAAGCCATACATTTTATGCATTAGGAATCTTGAGACCCAGGTGATTTTCAAATGTGCTCAGTGTTACTCAGCTAGTTAGTGACAAAGAAAGAACTAGAATTTGGTTAATAGTAATACTGTCAAAAATATGCATGTAGTAACTGGTTGAGGGGCTGTTGATAGTTGAGCCTGTGTTTTGGATATGTTGAGTTTGAGGTGATGGTGGAATAGACAAGTGAAATTTATAGCTAGCGAGTGAGACCTGTGACTATCACTATGCAGAAGTTAAGGTTGTCATTGTGGTATTCAGAAGAATGTGGACCTGATATTTAATCATCGTAATTGCCCGTAATTAGAGAGTAAAAGAAATAATGAAGAGGGCTGAAGAGTTACAGTTAGAAGGAGAGGCAAACAAATGGGTAGGTAAAAATGAAAGTGATCAACATGTTGCTCATTGTTGATTACTGCCAAGAAATGAGAAATAAAGTTGAAAAAATGTCTAAAAACATTTTTAATTATGAAGTGTAGAAAAGCAGGAAAAAGCAAAATTGTTTATAGTTTTCCATGAAGAAATAACCATTGATAATACTTTTTTCTCTCTAGTTTAACTAAAGAGCTTTAAATTTGACAATTGTGGATCAGTAGAGACGTGTATCTAAAGCTCTCCATTACTGCTCTAATGATCATAATTTTAACTGTGCTATTATAGTGGTGAAATCTGAGTAAATTTTAAAGCACTAGTTTCTAAATGGAAAGTGAATTGTTTGTGGATTACATAAAAAACTGAGGATGGAGAAATTACAGGGGTTAGGTTAGGATTGGAAAGGACAAAAGGAAGCATTACGTATTTGAAGCTGATACTGTAACTACAAGAAGTGAACTAGTTTGGAAGTGATTGCCTATAAGCTGTTTTGCTCTAATGCTTATATAGATCTTCCAAAAGATCTTTTTCTGCTTGCCTTTTAGTCCTAAGGAATTAGGGACTTTATTATTACTTACTAAATGATATTAGGTTAAAGATAACAGCAAGACAACATGCCAGAACTTATGGGACACAATGAAAGCCATCCTAAGAGGGAAATTTATAGCAGTGAACACCCATATGAAGAAAGCAAGCAACTGCAAATAAACAACTTAATGTTCAACTTCAGACTTGCGGAAAAAGAGAGTAGGCCAAGCTCAAAGCTCCTACAAGAGAGGAAGTTACAAAGATCAGAGCAGAACTTAATGCATTGTAGTTTAAGAAAACAAAGAATCAATGAATTAGAGTTGGTTGTTTAAAAGATTAAATAAAACAAAGAAACCCTTGGCCACCTTATCACAAAAAGGAAAGAAAAGACTCAAGTCCACACAAGTAGGAATTAGAAGGGTGAAATCAACGGTGGATCCTGCAGGAATCCAGAAGATCATCTATACCTACTTTGAGAACTTGTATTCTAATAAGATGGACAACACAGAATAAATAGACAGATTCCTAGATATATATAAAGTACCAAAGCTGAACCAAGAATATATAAAAATCCTAAATAAATGAATGTCAAACAATGAAATTGAAGGTGTAATTAAAAACCTACCAACAAAGAAAAGCCCACGCCGTGATAGATTCACTGATGAATAATACAAAAACTTTAGAGAAGACTTAATACTACTCATTCTTAAACTTTTTAATGAAATTGAAGGGGAAGCAATCTCCCTGAGTCATTTCTGGAAGCCAGCATTACCCTGACACCAAAATCAGAGAAAGACCCAATTAAGAAAGAACCACAGGTCAATTGTCCTACTGAAAATAGATACAAAATTCTCAGTAAAATACAGGGAAACAGAATGAAGCAAATCATCAAGAAGATTATACACCATTACTGAGTAGGATTCATCCCAGGGATGCAGAAATGGTTCACCATACAGAGCTAAGGGCAAAAACCACACGATCATCTCAATAGATGCAGAGAAAGCTTTTGAAAAAGTCCAACCCCTGTTCATGATACAGAAAATAGGCATATATGGTCTTTATCTCAATCTGATAAAAGCCATCTGTGACAAACCAACTACAACCTAAATGGACAGAAACTGAAAGCTTTTACTCTAAAATCACGAACAAGACAAAAATGTCCACTTCCTCCACCCTTATTCACCATAGTGCTGGAAACTATAGCCAGAGAAATTAGAAAAGAGAAAGAAATAAAAGGAATAAAAATAGGAAAAGAAAAAGTTAAATTATCATTATTTGCGGATGGCATGGTACTCTATATAGAAGTCTTCCAAAACTCCACCAAAACACCTTTAGATTTAATAGCCAAAATTTAGTAACATAACTGGATACAATCAACACTCAAAGATCAATAACCTTCCTGTACACGAATAAAAGCTCACTGAGAAAAGAGTTACGGAAATAACACCTTCTACAATAGCATCCAAAAAAATGAAATACCTAGGAATCAATCTAATAAAAGATAGAAAAGACCTCTACGCTGAAAACTACAGTACTCTGAAAAAGAAGATTGAAGAAGATATCAACTAATGGAAAAATATTCCTTGTTCTTGGGTCTGAAGAATCAATACAGTGAAAATGACCATATTCCCAAATTGTTATACAGATTTAATGTACTTCTGATCAAAATTCAAATAGCATATCTTACAGAATTAGAGAAAATATTCCAAGAGACTAGCATAGCAAAGGTGCTTCAGGGCAACAAAGACAATATAGAACTATAAAATTATACTATAAAGCTACTGTAATAAAAACAGCATGACACTGGCAAAAAATAAGGCCTGAGGATTCCCTGGAATAGCTTAGAAGATGCAGAAACAACTCCAGACATACTTAGCTACCTTATCTTTGAAAAAGGTGCCAAACACACTCACTGGAAGAAAGATAGCCTCTTTAATATATGGTGCTGGAAGAACTGGCTTTTCACATTCCAAAGATTAAAATTGGACCCATGTCTTTCACCATGCTCTAACTAAAATCAAAATGCCTCAAAGATTCAAATATTAAAACAGAAACATTAAATCTGCTGGACTATGGAATAGGTAGAACTCTTGAAGATATTGGTGTAAACAAAGACTTTATGAACAAAATCCTAATCACACAGGAACTATCACAAAGAACCAACAACTGGGGTTTCATCTTATTAAAAAGTTTTGCACAGCAAGAGATATCACCAGCAGAAAAAAGACAACCCACAATGTGGAAAAAATGTTTGTCAGGTGTTCTTCAGGCCAAGTATTCCTATCAAGAATGTATAAAGAAATCAACAGTCTAGACCTTCCAAATTTAAAGACCCAATCCAAAAATGGGCATCTGAAATGAATGCACATTTCTCAGCTAAAGAAGTACAAGCAGCAAATAAATATATGAAAAAATGTTCAGTGTCACTGGTCAATTGAGAGATGCAAATTAAAACAGTTCTCACACCAGAAAAAAATGGTATTAAGAAATCAACAATGACGAATGTTAGTGGAGCTGTGGGTAAGAAAAGAACCCTTTTCCACTGTTGGTGTGAGTGAAGACTGGTGCAATCACTATGGAAATCAATGTGGAAATTTCTTTTAAAAAACTAGGAAATTTCTTAAAAAAACTATAGCTTCTATTTGACCGAGCTACTCCCCTTCTGGGTATCTTACTAAAAAAATTAAAAGCATACCACAATAACATACGCACACCTATGTTTATAGCAGTACAGTTTGTAATAGCCAAATCTTGGAAACAACCCCAGTTGCTATCAACTGGTGAATGGATAAACAAGATGTGTTTTTTTTAATTCAATGGCGTATTACTCTGTCATAAAGAGGAATATGTTCCAGACATTTCTAGGGAAATGGATGCATCTTGGTCCATACTCTTCAGTAAAATAAATTAAACACACATGTGTGAAATCTGCATTGTTTCTCTGGTGTGAGAAACTAAAAGTGTAAATAAGGATCAAGATGTGTTTTGAAATAGGAATCTCTTCAAATGAGAAGGGGGACAAGAGATGGCAGGGGCAGAGAAAAGAGGCAATTAAAAAAGAGAAAAAGAAAATATGAAAACAAAACTTTGTAAGTGGGGAGGAAAGGAAGGCTTGAAGGGAAGGGAAGGAAAAAGGGAAAATATGTATAGTACAAATTCTCTTTGATGAATGTGACTGTTTTGTGTATCTAAATGTACCAATAAAATCTTATTAAGAAATAATTGATTTTAGTTAATAAGCTTCAATTATGAAATACTGTGCTATTAGGTAATATTTTGAAGTACATTGATTTGTAAATTATGGGTTCAGGCACTTGACTGTGCTACCTTTATGGTATGTGATTTTGAGTAATTCATGTAATCTTTGAGTCTATTTTTTGTGCCTTGTTTGAAAAATGAGCTTATAGACTAAATGTTTTTATAATACTTTAAAAGTTAGTATCCCATGCCAAACATATTTAAAATTTGGAATGATGATGGCTTATTAATGTTTATAACAAAAAACAGCAGTCCCTTGCTATTTTTGTTCAGTTTTGGTTACTTTTCACTTGTTGCTGGGACAAAACAGCTGATACCCAGAATGAAGGAAGAAAAGGTTTATTTAGCTCACTGTTTGTGGAAGTTTCAATCCATAATCAGCTGGCTCCAAAGCAGGGTGGCATGGCACTGGGGCAACACTTCAAGTC